ATCTCCGCAGGCACACACTGATGCCAACAGATGGGACCCACTTTTCTACCAGCACTAGCAAGCATGCGTTACCCTCTCAACTGCTCTGTCCTGCGCCTGTCAGTCACGCTCTTCTTGGCCCAGCGCTCCTTTTTAGTCTAGTCCTCTAGTCTGCAAGGGAGAAACAGGCCCCAAGCGCACTCCTGGCCAGACCGAGGACACATGAGCTGGTTTAGCACGAGGTGCATGCTAAATGCCACGATGATAACTGAGACAGACACCTACACCATGGCGTTTGCACTGAAGGAGTTTAGAAAGTCATCAGCAAAAAATAAAAGCTGAAATATAGAGAAACAGGCATAGCATGCCTGTGAAGTGGTGAGTTTCAAGAGGGAGAGAGTGACGGTGTTGGATCCTCACGGCTTTTCTATTTCAACTGCACTGAACTGGAGGATGTCCTTAAAATAAACCTTCTTTATGATAGGGTCTGAATGAGTCACTGTTCCCCATTTGGTTACGAGCCTGACTAAACCCAGCCGGCACCTATTGGCAAGAAGGCCAACAGCTGAGTTAGAAGCGCTCAATGATGTTCTGTTGCCTTCATATGGCACCTAAATAGCTCAAAGAGCCGCCCACCCGGAGGGCCCTCTGGGAGTACACTCACTAACCAAGGTGCTAGTTCAGACCTTGTCACCTCAGACCCACGATACCGCAGCAGATTTTCCCTCCCTTTCTCATTTCTGCACCATGCCACCAGATTCATCTTCCCTAAGGCACAACGTTCATTCAGTCACTCCTCTGCTCCAAGCCCCCAGTGTTCCCCTAGAGTGCAGAACTATCGATTCATCTGTATCGGGCAGTGGGAATTCTCCTAGGGGCTGCGTATACATTGCCCCACTTCTCAGAATGACCCTGCAATTAGTACTGCCATCTTTACTTGGTAGCTATGATGATTGGTCATGAACAAATTACCACAAGCATGGAGCTAGGAATCAGCACAGAAACCTAAGTGCTTACATATGCAATCCTTCATTCATTCAGACACGAATGACACAGTAGGAGGAGTTGTGCGAAGTGTCCGGAGTAGAATCATTTGTGCATGGGTAACTTTAAGGGCACTGTGACACAATGGCGAGCGGTCAAAGGCAGGGAGCGAACCTGAGTGCCGAAGCAAGCGGCTGGAGGAGCTTTGGCAAACCTCAGCTCAGGGGAGCCCTCTTTCGGCCGGTGTCACCTGAGTTGCGCTGACGGTCCAATAGGAATGAACAGCCTGCTGTTTCTTTGGAGGCATCACCCTGGTGGCAAAGGGGCTGCCCCGCGCCTTGTCTCTTACTCAGGCTCTCCTACACTCACGGACCAGGAAGGGGCGTAGGGGAGCTGAAGGTAGAAAGGACAAAGGAAGAAAAAGGCCCATTAATAGCAAGATGATATTACCAAACTATATTTTGTATTCCAACAACCCTTACCCCTTGTATTTACAGTCGCCCCAGTTATAATTTGAAATTAAAACTGATTTCCTAACCCAACAGTATCTCTTTTTGCCACCACAAAGAGATGCAGTTTCAACCCTGGTCTCTTGGCAGTGCTAATTATGTTCCCCATAACACATTCCTGATTGCACAGAATGAAGTACGGCAGGTGTGGAGGTGACAGAATAAAACAAACGCATGATTTATACGACAGACTGATTAGTGCAGGGGGCGGGGAAAAAGCAGCAAATGTTGTATATGGAGATTATAGGAAAGACACAATAGTCACACATTCACACGGATAAATCCGATCAAACTAAAAATACTTTTGACCAGTTTTTTCTGTTATAAATATAATCTGAACACACTGCCATAACCATTTTCACTGTGCTTTTTGCTGTTGCTTTGCTTTGCTTTGTTTCTTGGGTTTTCTTTAGCTCTGTCTGGGCTTTTTCCCTCCTGAGATAGGGTCTGACTGTGTTGTCCACACTGGCCTTGAACTGCTTCTCCTGCCACTTCGGGTTCCCAAGCAGCTCGCACACGGCCACGTACCAGCGGCCAGCTCACAGGCCGACGAGCGACCTTCTACCTAGATGCCACTCAGTTAGCAGAGAAAATGATTTTGATAAAATATTCAGTTTTGCATGCACAATTTCCAAGTTGATTCACAATCATCAGTTCAAAATCAGAGTTAGAGGAGAAGGTCTAAACATTTTTACTTTGTAAGAGCTTCTTCCAAATAGGAATAAAGATGGAACATAAATTGTGAATAAGACACAGAATTAACAAATCTTGGAAAATAAGCCAGAATAAAAAAAAGAAATCTGAAAATGGATTAGAAGAATTTCATAAGTGACTGAATAGCTGTGAGAACAGTACACACCATGCCTGGAAAGCCGGGCTTCGTAGTTCTGGTGATGGCTCCACTGAAAGTAAAAACTAAGCTCTAGTCATGTGCACAGACGGGATGTGATCCAAAACCCCGTTACTGCTTACATTTTAAAAAAATTATTGCAGTGAAGGTCAGGGCGCCGTTAACCCTCCCGCAACACTCCCCTCGCTGTGAGCACCCCCATTGCTCTTCCCGCGCTCTGCAGCTGGCTCCAAGTCCTCCTCTGTGTCTTCAGTTGTACTTTCGTGGCTGCCTTGTTGCCCAGAACTGACTCAGGACACTTCGGCTACGTCTGTCAAGTATAAGCATCGGAGCAAGTCCTCGTCCACTGCATCCCTGGGTCTGGCTTTTCCTCCACTCAGTGGCCGTGAAAGGCAGAGGTTTTGAATCAGTGCAGAGCACTGAGGCACTCAGGACAGCACAAGTAAGAACACAAAGGAGAGCTGCTTCAGAAAGCATCAAGAACAATGGATACGTGTGTTCAAGAGAGGAGGAGCATTTTGACAGAGGTTGACGGTAATGTGTCTTTTACTATAACACGTCTTTGAAATTTAAACACTTATTATAGTTTTGTTTTGTTTTTTTAAATCATACTGCATACACTGCATACACTGCACCTGTGTGTTCACCAAATCCCGCTGCCTTTCCTTCTAGGCACGCCGTCCCCATGCTCATTCCCAGCCCCTCCTCACCATGTGTGGACCTGAGATTGAGCTCCGGCCAGTGAAATCGGAATCGATGTCTTAGGGGCCCAGACCTGGATGACTGCAGAAAGCACATCCCCCCCAACAGCCCTGATTCGTATTCAACTATAATGGAAGGCAGCAAATGCATTAAGCTACAGAGCTTCAGGTAGTGATTCTTACAGCAGCCAACCGACCTTAAGTAATGTATACCAATAACACGGGTTCTCCAGACTGGATTACAATGTGGTAGTGCAGGACAGAACTAACTGCAGATGTCCAAAGTGGCTCCAATAGACACCAATAATTGAGAAACTTCATATTCAGATATTATAAAGGCATTTAAGAAACTTCCCAGAGTCCAGTACATTAAAGAAAAGTTACGTTACAAAGCATGGGCAGAAGGAAAGGTGAGTAAAGGGTAGCCCTCCTGGTACCTAAGATTTCCCTTCCAAACTTGTGAGCGCCTGACAGACAAGGTCAGGGCCCTTTGCTACAATGCCTTGCACATGCTCCAGTACCAAGAGAATAAAGTCAGAAACCTCTAGAACTGACAACTACTCTCCATAATCCCATTCCTGCACCTCCTTCACTTCATCTTCAGCTGTGATGCTGCCTCTACTTGGGGCCTCTCGCACTACGTGTATATCCTGAGCCACCTCCCAACGCCCGCCCACTGTGCCTTTGTATGAAACTCTTTCCTCTTGAGGTGTGCACTCCCCCAGCACCACCTGCCTCTATACACTTACTCAGTCTTCCACACTGAGCTTAACCAATATGTCATTCACCCATAGCTTTTGCTGAGACCCGTTTTTTCTAGAAGACACGATAATTAATCTGGGTTTCCAGAACCCTTTGCATCCATATATATCACAGCACGTATCATGAAAATCATAACTGTCTTCATTCCTATCATTGGCACAACTCATAGATCCTTAATGGCACCAGCCATGTTTGACTCTAAGCTCTTTTCTCCTCTGGCTCATGAAGTATCACACACACACAAGTATGAAACCCAGGTGCATGACTGCATTGACAGAAAGCTCTTAGTCTGGTTTGGTGGCACCCCCAGGTGATCCCACCTCCTAAAGATGCTGAGACAGGAGGATCACAGAGTCCACATCAGCGACACCCTATACTCAAAAGAAAGAAAGAAAAGAGAATAGAACACAAAGAATACAAGTCTTTTCCTGTAAAGTACAAAGTGAAAACACCATTTTCCAGAAAACCCCAAAACTATACTATATCAAAAGATGCCCACTGCAACTCTCAAATACGATAAGCTTTACTGTCAGTCAGTTGGTTAGTCTTAAAAAACAATTACGCTTCTCTGTAGTACAGATGTCAGAAGAAAGCAGGCATGAGTAATACAAGCCTTAGAGAATGTATAGAAATAAGTGCAAATGACAATCTGAAAAAAAGAGTAAGTCTAGATCAAAGGACTTCTTGTCCCTCAAAATGCCACCCTTCCCAACTGTACAAATCAAAAAATTCATTTACTCCCTTGAACAAAACAGCACTTCACTCCACTGTTAAAACGTGCATACCTTGGGTCTGGGGATTTAGCTCAGTGGCACAGCGCCTGCCCAGCAAGCTCAAGGTCATGAGTTCAATCCCCAGTACCGGAAAAAAAAAACAAACAAACAAACAAAATGTGCATACCAGAAATACCCTACCTGTCCAACAACAGGGAGATAGTTAATTACTTCACATCACCCAAAGGAAGGCCTTATCATGGCATGGGAGAATGTTCACTTAAAATTTTGACAGAAGGGAAAGATACTCTAAAGTATGATTTGAATAATACATATTTTAAAGTATATTTATTTCAAACGATGGAAGGAAATGCAATATAATACAGTAACTGTGGTGCTGTCATGGTGGAGTCGATGCTCCTATTTGGAAAATAACGTAAGAACGCATTTAGGCCTGACTGCTTGGGTGTGAGTCCTCTTCCCACCACCTTGTGCCACCTTCGTGCGGTATTACGCTGTCTCCTGGTTCAGGTTTCTTCTCTGTAAAAGGTGATAACAGTTATTTTAAAAAGCTCATTAGAAACACTTAGAACAGTAAGTCCTGCATCTAGCAAACCTTGATCGATGTCATCCAATATTTTTGCACATGGAAGAGCCCAGGTGTGTCCTGGAGTTTGAACAGCTAGGTTGGATGAGGAGAGGATGGGTCAGATAACAAACTGCCCCTACAGTTTTTTGAGGACTTCCCAGGGATTCAAACCAGGTGAGTTAATGGTTCCCTGTCAGACCGGCTCAGTGTCTCCTTGGTTCACCACAGCTGCCAGGAGAGGAAGGAAGGAGCATTTCTCAACTTTATTCTCCATTGCCTTTGTCTACTTTCACCCCCCTCTTTCGTTTGTATTTTGTCTTCACTGCCAATTTTGGGCTTAATTGGAAGAACGCAAAGAAGCTGAAGTAAAACAAAGCTCAGCAGAATATAAAAAGCACAAAACAGTGAAGGCATGAATGGCAGCCTCAATTCTAATTATAATCAGAGAAGAAGGCTGCTGCGGCCCCGTAACATACATGACCTCCTAGTGAAGTGGACTAATGTTTCATTTACCGCTCCAATTTTCTCACGGCAGGGATAATTTACCTGTGTGATGATTACACTCTGCCTCCAGGGTCTCAGAAACCCTTGCCTATCATTGTTCTCTTGAATTTGGGAAATCTATCTGCATTCAGACCAAGTACTGACAATAACTTGGGCAGCAAGGCAATCTTATTTTCCCTCTAAGACTGCTGCAGACTTGGATTCAATCTATTAACGTCAATAGGTAGATTTGTGCAGGTAGTCTAATTAGAGATATGCAGATAGCAGGCGCAGGTTTCATTTGCATTCTAGGTTAAAAGAAAAAAAATCAGTGTCCACACACAGGAACACTTATTCTGAAGCCACAAACTGCAGCAATGCCGTACACAGAAACCCAACGGAGGGGCTATAGGTCAATGCAAAAATGCCACCTCATGGAGAGGAATGATGCGAAGGGACAGGCAGGCTCCTTACCTTCACATTACAAGCACAAAATGCAACCCAGCCCTGCACAGAGGACGTTCATAACCCCCTGACAGTCCATGTGGAAAGGGCTGGCTTGGAGGCTGCCTTTTCACTAGAAATTGCTATCCTTCTAGCTGAGAGAGTGAAAAACAATAGGATCCTCGAAATGAACTCACCTACTCAGCTCTTAGAGGTGTATTCCAGCTGGCACAGCTGTGTCAAATTGCGCATTTCATGAAGTTCATTTCCAGGGGTCTTGACCCAAACTCTCCAGCTGCAGGGCCTGGGAAGGTGAGGCTTCCAGGACCTCAGTCAGCAACGCTGACTTCCTGCCAGAGGATCAGAAAGAGGCGACAGAAAATATAAGTGTACATCCGAAGTCCAACTCTCCTTTCTCCAGACATCCAAGCTTCAAGTCCTTCTGAGGAACTGAATCAAACTAGTGATGAAAAAATAGATACGAAGATGAAGAATTCACGAATAAATGTTGGGCTTTTTTTAAACAGAAAACTAATATTTATTAAATCACAGCCATGAGACAGGTACTCTATTGAATGCTTTCCTAGACTTAATTTATTCTGCAAATATTTAATCGACAGTCTCTAAGCCAAAAAGCAGAAATAAAAATATAGCTAAAAATCAGGATATAGGGATGACAGAATATATTCCTTAGTGCAAGGGAACCTTACAGGAACCTTTAAACCTTAAGCCAGAGATAATTTTTCTTCTATCTCATCCCAAAAGAACTTTAGTCAACTGAGAGTTAATTGATATCAACATTATCATCATCATCCCCATTGTAAAGTGTGGCTTCAAAAACTGAAGAAAAATTCCCAAGATCACACAGGTGGAAATTAGCAAAATCCATAACTCCATGCACACTTATCAAGTCAGCGCTTTCATGACTTTATAACACACCATCCCTTCTAGCTAAACACTGCTTTCTCCCTGGCACAGGCTTACCCAGCAGGGAGGCAGGATCAAAATGGAGACAACTGGAATACTGAATAGTGTTGTAAAAACCCAAGGAAAAGAACAGACCTTTTTATTAACAATCTGAAGCACCCAAACTAGTGAGTGGTACCTGTAGCTGTGCCACGTCCTCTTGGCCTGAGACTTACTTTTTATGTTGAATTAGAAACAGTTAGTAGCACTCACACTACACAAAGCAGAATCAGAACTAAGGACTGTCCTTTCATTCTGGGGAAAGTTCAAGGAAGAGGAGCAGCACGGCAGGATGGAGCGGGCACAGCACCCACACCCAGCCAGCCTGAGTCTGAATCCCGAATCGATTCCTGAGCAATCATTTAGCTCCGGGCATGCTGACTTCAGCGTCCACATCTGTTGAAGGGTGTTGCAGGACTGTCTAAGTACGTGTGGAGCACTGAGAGGCATCCCAGGCCGCGGTGAGAACTCAAGTGGACACTATTACTTTTGCTACTGGTCCTCCTGCGCCTCTGGGAATTGACATGCCGTGGGAGAGCAATTTCACGGCCGTTCCACAGAATTATCTACCCGAACTTCCCGAGAACAGCACACTGTCCTCCTCTTGAGGCAGCGCACACCCTCTTGCAACTGAGCAGTCACTCACCATATATTCTAGGGCTGTCTATAAAAGCTAAAAAAAATCCTTAAAAGTCACTGAGAAGTTGTTCTTTATAGAGTGCAATTCCCTGACCCGAATCAGTCTTTGCCTTTGAATCAGTTTATGTTACCAGTTGTTTAGCAGATTGATTGCTGCTATGGCAACTGCACATCCCTCTGCACAGACACAGGCACAAGTCCTTGATAGGATCCTGGCTTAGTCTCTCCGGCTGCATTCAGTACATGCCAAAAATTAGATAATATTGGGTAAATTAATTGCTTTCTGTACCATAGGCACTGGAGCTGCAAATGAAGCGTGGTGTGTAAAGTGAGGACTGTGCTTATCGCTTAGCAGCCTGGAAGGAAAGAAAACAGCGCTGCAGCCGCAGCTGCATCTGCTCACATTGCTCACCTTTGGTTTGCACGGTTCTGGCAAATATCAATTCAGGATGTGCCCAGAGTCTGCAAATATCCCTCGTCAGCGACTCGGAATCTTTCAGGGAAGATTCCCACCGGGGTAGGAAAGTCTGTTTTTACTGCATCAGAAAGGCTTGAGTATCGGCTGCATGGCGTGAGGCAACTCCTTTAATCTCTAAACACTCGGTTTCCCCACCACAGCAGAGAGCTGCTGTGAAGAGGGCATGAAACCCCCGGGCTGGCGTGCACGTGAAAGCTGCTGACTTGTGAGCCCATTCCTCTTCATCTTTCCTCTTCTTTAGTTTCCTTTAATTCTTTATCTTCCCTACAACCACACTTAACAAGGGTGATGATCAGGTTCATTAATTAGAATCTAGTTCTATGCCTCTTCTAAATAGCTCTAATTCAGTAGCTTGAGCCTCTGTGAACTCCAAGCGAACTCAAAATTTTTGCATGATACGAGTCAATGTTTGGGAGTGGTTTTAGCCTGGGAAGACAGGCCGATCCTCCAAGAGAGTTTTGCTCTGTCCCGTCACTTCACACTTGATCAAACTTCTTTAAAATGACGCTTGCCATGAGAAAGACAGAACATTAGTGTGTAAGTGTAAGTGTGGCACCCATCCCTCAGCACCCCTTACCTCTTTATTTGTAAGTGATCGAGCACTGTGATCTCTGCAGAGGAAGCCACGTTATTAGCAGCCATGCTATTTTGTATCCAGAGATACCTGCAGCACTTACAGAAATTCACCTAAACCATATGTTGTTTTATGTTTTTATCACTCTGTATGTATATATGATTTGCATAAATAGAAAAATAAATAGTTATCTTGTATTTCTCTGAGGACTGTAAACTTCAAAGAAAAAGGTAGAAACCTTCCCATCTATCATCCTAATGGCATAGTGCTTGGCCTACAGTGAAAAGTCAGCAATGCTGAAAGCCCAGGCTGACTTACTGGGATCTAATAGCTAATAATTTATGATGCAAATAGCCTCACTTAATGTGAGGCTTTCTAAAAGGAGGAGTGAGAAAGGATGGCATGATCAGACATTAGACCAGAAGCACTACCACACCATAAACCAATATTGATTCCATTAGCTTACTCTAAAGATTCCGGGATGCAAGGTCAGTTTCCCATTATTAAACAGTTTCTACAAAGAAGTGCTTTGGCCACAAATATAAGCAGAGGCAATTGGTGACCTGGGAGAAGAACATGGCTTTAAAATCAGTGACTTGAGTTCTGGATTCTAACCTAACTCCAGTTTCATCTTATTTATGTATTCATTTTTTTAAAAATTTATTTGCAGTTCTGGAGATTAAACCCAGGGCCTCATGCACACCAGGTAAACAGTCTATTAAGCTGTACCTCCAATACTTCATCTTATTTAAAAGTGATTATATAGCGTAACTTGCATGGTTGTACAGTGTGCTGTTTAGGAGCATACATTGTGCAGGTAACAGTGTTTGTTGGACCCCTGACCTCCTCACTAAGAGCAGAGAGAACCTGAACAAGTGACTTTATCTCTCTAAGCCCCAGTTTCCTCATCTGGAAAAGGGAGGTAATCACTGGCCCTGCCTCATGGGTTGTGAAGAAGAGCTTGGGTTATCTGTGCAAAGTGCTGCTTTCCACAGTACCTGACATATGTACGAGCTCAATAAATGTAGCTCGTGGTAGCTGCATAGTAGTTGTAAATGTTATGATGTGTATAAAGAGCCTGCCTCTTAGCAGCTTCAGAAAGACAAAGGAAATGTGTGTTCTCATGAAAATTCTAGCCTGCTGCAAACTTCTTGGAAATCAGAAGGTTGGATAGGTACTGAGTGATCTGAGGAGAATTTTCCTATAATTCTGTCCTGGTGAAATTACTCTGGTGCCGGCGCAGCAGCGAGGGGGAACAGAGTCCGGCTGGTATATGGACTGCCTGGTTGGGAAACGAGGGCCGCTGGAGCACAAGGACACACCTTGCTGTGCTGCATGTCCCTGGCAGCGCACGGTGAGAACAAACACCAAAGGAAAATTTTAAATAAATTGGCAAAAGAAGGCAGTGCTAGAGAAAAAAAAGCAACCAACAGATTGGCCCACTACCCGGGAGGACAATAGGGTAGCTGCCTTTGAACACAACGGCCACCTCTGAGGCCAGCAAGGGAGCTCTACAAGAGTTAAGGCAATAAATAAAATAATGATTTCTACAGACATCTAGCTAGATCTGACGGCTGGTCATGCTTTTTCTGTTTTGTTTCTTCAAAGATATGCGCACACACCTTTGGCAGTGTTACCCTAAACAACAAGATGTTACATCTAAACTGCAAGACCTCAGGCACTATCTGTCCTCACCCACACCCAACTGTCTGCCATCTTCCGCACCAGACACAACCCTGAGGACAGAAATGGCCCTTCGCTTTCCTGAGTTGTTTAAGCTGAAAAACGGGTCAAAGTGCCATTCCCAAAATAAAACAGAAATGTGGCCACTGGTATGAAATATTTACAGCTGTGAGTCAAAAAAACAACAAGGGCCTTACTTGACCTGGTAGGCAGGGGAAGGACATAGGTACACAGGCCTGTAGAGAAGAACTTTGCCCAAAAGTGGCTGTCTCTTCTGGGATCCGCATATGTATCTGTGGCCCAAGCTAAAGGCTCAGGAGTCATCTGTAACTGCTTCCTTCCTTCCTCCTGTATCTAATCATTAACGGTCCTTAGCATGCTCCCATCTGTTTCACGTCTGACATATTTCCTGAACTGTGCTCTTCTTGGCAGCCAGACACTCCTCTGCACACCAACCCCTTATGTATTTGCCGGCCATTGCAACTACCCCACATGTACTATCCTCCATCCTATACCTATCTCTTCCCCACTTCCACACACCTGCAATAGCATGACTTGGGAGGCCCTTCAAGCACAAGCCCCTGCCTGAACTTCCAGTTTGGAATGTTCATTTATTTTTGTAGTGTTTTCTTTGTCTCGATTGCATTAATTTCTGCCGTATCTTTGGGATTCTTGGCTACAAGGTAGCTCTGGTTGCCTAAGACCTGGCCCTGAGATGATTAAGAAAGAGGAGTACTGACTTGTGAGGTAGATGGGCCAGAGAGAGGTCTGGTTCTGGGTTGGTTAGTTTGCATACTGGAAAGACACTTTCCAGGCTAGGACCTATGCTAGCTCTAAGGACTGGCTAGCACTAGTAGTGACAGTCTGTTCCCGCCAGAAAGGTTTTTTAAGACATCAATGTGTCTTAAAAAGACACATTGTAAGATACAAAACTGAAATGTGTATGCTCTACAGCTCCCAGCCTTTAACTAAAGCCTGGGCTTCTCCCTTCTATGTGCTAAGCCCTGTTAAAGACAGAGCTGATAGTCTGCCAATATGTTAATACTCACTAGTCTACTGGTTTTCTACACCTGGTTCTTTCTGATTTATTAACCATATGGCTGGTAAATATTTTGAATAACATCTCAGTTATATTTAGAACATTAGTGCTTTACATATATATGCAATCACAGTTTTGTAGGACATGCATTATTATCCATATTTTAGAAATCCAGAAACAAGACTCGCAGAAGATAAGTAACTTGCCCACATTGCACAGAGCCAGAATGGGAAGTTGCGTCCCCTATGCTGCAGCTGTGTTCTTCCCTCTCCTCACATTGCCTCTTTACTGTGTGTTTAATTCTACCCTCGGGGCTCCAGAACAGTGCCTGGCATCTAGGAGGTGTTCATTAAGTAGTTACCTAATGAACTAAGGTGTAAATGGCTGTGACAGCAAACATTTTAAACTTTTCCACTAGTTGATATACTCAGGAGCAAAATATGGGAGGCCTATAACCTTGTTTTTAACCAAAAGACATCTCATAATAAGAACTGCTTACCTCATCAAAACTCAAGATGTTCATTACTATAGCTATCAGTTATTCAGCGACGCTCACACTTACATAGAAAGCTTTGTGTTAATTAGTTTATGCCATTCTCCCACCAGTGCTGCAGGAGGTCACTGTTTTGAACTAAGCCCCTTCACTGAGTCACTCCCACCAATTATATGTTTTCCCGTTTGCAGATGAACAATCATAGAAAGGATGTGCACTAAGAAAGTTCCAGAGCTGGTAGATGGCAGGGCAGAGTGCTTGCCTTTCCACTCTGTACAAAACTTTTTCTTCTCTATTCCACGCACCATTTGCAGAAATGACTGTACAGAGCAGGAAATGCAACTCAGTACTACATGAAAGTCTCTGAGACAAAAAGGTGCTACATCACCATTAAGGAGCATTGTCAGTAATGGATTACTGTGGTTTCCATCCTCCAGGCCCAATGGGAGGGTTGGTCATGGGCTCAGGACCCATCTCCTGCTAGAATCTTATTAGTGCTTCCTCTGCACAAATAAGAACTGGTATATTGTGTTAAATTGACTGACACAAACAACATGCTTTGTCCAGAAATAGAAAACACAATTTTCTTTAGCAAAATAGAACATAGGAAGTGGTGGGGGTTAAAATGTCATGCACGGTACAAAGGTTTGGCAGAAGAAAAAGGTTAAAATCAATCATCCTACAGGGAAAGGAAAAGTCTACAGTATTCTACAGTAATTACCCACCCAAAGTCACACTATTAGAATTAGGAATCATTGCTACTCAAAAATTATTTTAAAAGGAAAGAAAGAAAATTCTCAACTGCATAATGTTAATGTTTTACTTTTCATGAATCATTTGGAAAGATCATAGATATATTCCTGAAAATAAATAAAAGAAACCACTTCAACATTCTTACTTCCAGGGGCAGGAAATGACCTTTTCATATAAGAATAAGGTAGAGAAAATCAAAATCGCTCTCTCAAAAGAAACTACACCAGCATATTACTACGCTGACTTGTGTTAAAATTACAGGAGACCATTGTTTTTGAACTAAGCTTGTGCAGTGGGCTCCAACAGGCAGGGCTAAAAATCAAACTGGTGTCACCCCCACTAACGTTCCACATCACCAACCTGAAACTCAGCCTTGCATCTGACCTTCCAAGAAATCAGTATTAGAGAGACAACAGTCAGATTTCCCAAAGAGGCCAGTTTCAATTGACATGATAATGACATATCCTCTGCCTTAATCCTAACACACACACACAAAGGTAACCTGAAGTAACCTGAAGTTAACGAATCAGTTATATTTCTACTGTTTGTCCCTGCTTTACAAGAGAATTTTGCAACAACCAGCTGCTGTTGTCTCTTCATCCTTCAGCCCTTTTCTACTCATAAAACCAAGCCCCTGTGCTCACCTCAACACCTCAATGGTCATGCACTCTATTTTATGAAATGATGTGTAGTTTGATTCTAGGATGAAAGGTAAAGTTAAAAAAGATTTTTAAATTAAATTTTTAAAATTTTTTTGTCTCTTTAAACTTGTACACTAGAGGACATAAGTAAAAAATGAAAGCTTACCCACCACTTGTATCTTCTGGACTATCTCAGTGTGACAGTTCCACAAGCTTCAACCACGGCACCCGTCATACTTTGGGATTATTTATTCTCCTTTAAAAGTTTTGTGCCCAGGCTGGGCTAAACCCCAGACATCTTCAGGAAGCCCGGTGAGTCTGGGCTCTGCCTCCCTGACCAGGGTGCAGGGCAGGCAAAGCCTTGGGACCCTCTGGGGCC